TCAACTCTGACGCACCTGTCATTTGAAAAATGACCTGAGATTCCCCCTCTTCCTTTTCCTGGGGCCAAATGCTCCAGCTTTCTAAGCCTGGGGAGGGGGATGTAGGGGAAAGGAGAGCACCAGACAGGTGCATGAACTTGAGCCCAGTTGAATTCCTGCTAACTGTGTAAGGCTGGATCACCTGGTAGCTGGCAAGCTCTACTCTGGGACCTTAATGCCCTCCATTAATTTAGCCTAAGGAATCCTGTGGCACAAATGATCCCATAGAGGCAGTTCTATGATTCCATGGCCAGCAGAAACCCAAGATATTCCAGTTACACTGATCTCCTTGCCTGACATGCCCCCCATACACTCGAAGGGCAAGTATGCCATATGATTTTTCCCCTGTGCCAAGAGAGTCATTAAATGCCACATTTCAGGCTGCTTTTCCTTACAAGTAGCTAAGAATTTGGTCCATAGTCCCTAAAAGAACAGAGGTGTTAGAAGAATGTTTGTTTTATTTGGAATGAATGTGTGTGTTGCCATTTTCCAATGCATTAACCATCATGTTGCATTCCATGAGCATCCCTGGTTCCAAAAACCCAATGAACAAAGTAAAGATGGGCTGAGATTTTCCCCTCTAGTTTTTTTAAGTGTCTGTTAAAGATGTTAGATGGTTAGTCCTTTCATCTCAGAAGAGGTTTAGTTAATCCCAAATAGCAGAGTTTTAACTTAGAAGGGTCACCCTTATATGGGTGAATGTGCACTACCAGTTGAAACAAAAACCTAGCTCTGGACACTCTTCTTGTCAGCTGGGTGACATCTGAATCTCTCCTGAATGACTGCACAAGCACCCACCTTACAGGGAACACAACTGGCAAAGACTGTGAATTTGTTAAATGTGGTCAACCATCTATTGGAAAGTGGGCTAAGAGAGTTGAACAGTCTGTCACTTTCTGGAATCTGCCCTTCAATCCAACAGATATTGGAAAAAGTGGAGAAGGTTCAGAGAAAAGCATCCAGAATGATTTGAATATTGGAAGGCGTGCATTACACTGAGAGAGTTAAGAAACTCAATCTATTTATTTCATTAAAAAGAAGAGGAGATGTGGTGATCATGGTCTAGAAGTATGATCTTGAATTGTGAAGAGCTCTTTAATCTAGAGATAAAGACATAATAAGAGGTAATGGCTGGTGTGATGGCATGGTCCGGTCACAACCTACCCTGGAGAAACCATAAAGAAGTCTTCCAAGGAGGCTAGAGTGGCTAGAGAAACCAGCAAGGCCTATAAAAGGAGTTGCAGGAGCAGAGTCAATTCAGTGTCACTGGAGCCTTCAAGGAGAGAAGACCATGGGTGACTGGCTGGCTAAGGGAGCAGAAGCACCATGGAGAGCTCCATGTATGGAAGTATTCTGGATTGAGGTTAAAGCCCTAAGGCAAGGAACGAGGTACCCGTCTCCATGAGGCACCACTCTCAATCAGACTGAGGAACAGACTGAGACAGACACTTACAGAGTACACCGAGATGTATCTCTGTTAAGTGTGTACTCCAAAAGGGGCCTGAGTGATTCGCACAGAGTGTGACTCAGTTGGAGGGCTGAGTAGCCAAAAGAAGCTGATAAAGTGAAGCAGTGCAGGCGCACACACTGGGCCAGGTGGGGGTGTTCATGGAAGCGAGTTCCAGATGAAAACTGAAGAACTAAGCAACTTCAAAATGGAAATGAGATGCAAATTTTTGACATTAAAGTTGTCTTAACCACTGGAACATTTTAAAGGATGTAGTGGATTTTCTGTCACACGAAACTTTTAAATCAAAATGAGATGTCTATCTAAAATATATTCTCTAATTCATCCACAAACTTTTATGCTTAGTTCAGGAGTTACAGTTTTAAGCCCTTTGGTCTGTGTTAGGCAGATTAGATTAAAATAATAGTATCTTCTGGCTTTAAAATCTATTATTCTCTGAATCTTTGCTTGCTACTGACCTTGGCTGCATTTGAACCAGAAGCAGAGTATGTGGCTTTAAAATATAGGAAACTTGTTTCAGTATTGCATTTCTGTTTCCAGCCCCCCTCACTTCTTAGATAATGTACTAGCAAGTATACTAGCAAGTACTTCTCTCGTATGTGTTGCTGTTTGTGGATCACCTGTATCCTGTAGCCCTGTTCTTATCCAACAGTTATTGCACTGACTTCTACAAAAGCAAAAAGTTACTAGAAGCATGACTAGAAGAAGATGGAGATTCAGAAGAGATTCAGCTGAATCTTTGTTTGCAATGTGTCTTTATCCTTAATCATAAAGGAGTCTAGCTAAAGCCATGTGAAATCAGACTTGGTGATGCATTATTGGCTGCTGGAAAGAAATGCTGTGAAATGAGACTTGCTGCAGAGTTTAAGCTGAAGTGGTCGCAGTGTGTGTCTGTGTGTTGTTTTAAATGAGGGAGATAGTTGCCAAAAACATGCAATTCAAAATGCTCTTATGGTTGTGCTGCATTTCAGAGTTTTTTGCATTGCCAGGAGGGTATTACATGTGGGTGCTTGAAAAGAGAACTTGTGTATGTGATTTATTAATGGGAGCTTTATCATCTTGGGAAGATGGAACAAAATCATAGCTGTCTGTTATGAGCTGTTCAAGGAGTGCTGCAAGGAAAGCCTGCTCAACACAAGTGTGTGTTATTGTAACCTCTGGGCATGCCATGACTAAGCTACTGTACTACGGTTTATTATCCAGCAATCCAGAACTAGAACTTTTCCAGGCATGACTCGCCAAGTGCCCTCTGAATCAGACAGGCACTTTGTAAAGTGACTTTTCTGCCTTCTGCACAACAGAAAAGAATTTACTTACGGGTATTTAGTATTTCATTTTTGGAGCTGTATGGCCAAAATAAACGGTCACAGTGAAGAAACCTTAACTTACACTGTTTAGAAAAATGTGTTCAAAATAGAGTTTTGGCCTTTTAAAAAAGGGGAAAGAATTTAAAAACACCAAAAAACACATTCCTTCTCCCAGCCTACTTAGATGAAACATCTTCAGCTCCCTGGCTGGGAATTATTTCAATATTTCCTGGTAGTCCCTTTTTAAATTATCCAGGCAATTGACTCAGATTTGGTAGGTTCAGGCGTCTTATTTTCATAGCTTAGCCTTGGGTAGAAAGTGCCTGAAAGTAACAAGATCCATGATGGAAATGATGATCTGCTAATTCAGATACCTGCACCCCTCCATGCCTACCACCATATCAGTTCACTTAGGTCCAGGTACAGACTATAATGAAATACAGACCTTTCCTGATCTACGCTGTGAGGATATTGGTAGGTTCAGGCGTCTTATTTTCATAGCTTAGCCTTGGGTAGAAAGTGCCTGAAAGTAACAAGATCCATGATGGAAATGATGATCTGC